TCCTCCTCCTCCTCCTCCCTCCTCCTGCCTGGTTTCCTCCTCCTCCTCCTCCTCCTCCTCCTTCACGATACCCTCTTTTCTTGAGAATACCTCTTCCCTATCGCACCCCCGAGGCCAGTCGGAGGGGCGGGCCAGGCACTTCGCCTGAGACTGCCTCACCATGTATGAGCCTGAAGCTTCGAAGCTTGTCGCGGTTTCACAGATGTGCAAGAGCTTCACGGATTGAGGACATGCGTTTTCAAAATGTGGCTCCCGCCTTAGCGCCGCGCACACTCGTGTTAAAAAGTTGCAAGAGTCTCACGGATTGAGAGCGCTTCGTTCCAAAATGTAGCTCTCGCCTCAGCGCCGCTCACAGATTGAGGGCGTGCGACTTCAAAATGTGGTTCCCGCCTTAATGCCGCACATATTCGTCTTAAAACATGCAAGAGCTTCTCGGATTGAGGGCGGCTCTCGTTTTCAAAATGTGGCTCTCGCCTCAGCGCCACTCACGGATTGAGGGCGTGCGATTTCAAAATGCGGTTCCCGCCTCAGCGCCGCGCACATTCGTGCAAGAGCTTCACGGATTGAAGGCGGTTCCTTTTCAAAACGTGACTCTCGCCGTAGCGCCGCGCACTTTCGTTTCAAAAGTTCACAAAAAGTTCGCGGATTCTCAGAATAGCCTTCTTGATATGGTGTTTTCGAAGGATTCAGGATTGAGGGCGGTGCCTTTTAAAAACGCGGCTCTCACCGTAGCGCCGCGCACATTCGTTTCAAAAATTCGAAAGAAGTTCGCGGATTGTCATGATTAATCGTTCAGAAATTGGGTTCTCGAACGACTCAGGAGCGCCAGGGCGCAACAGTTATGTTGATTCGCAGTGTGTGAAGTCCAGGAACGATTCGCGGCGTTCTGGCAAAATTATGATCGTCAAGACGCAACAAGAAGGTTGACCCGTGGCGTTGAAGTCCTGAGGGTCCTGAGAATGGTGCTTTGGCACGCTTCATGGTTTTTCACGCGGTTGTCTCTCAACGGGGCACTTCCCTCAGAGGAAGTGAGTCCTTGCCTATGAAGAGGGAGCTTGGAGGGAGGATGTACCCAAACATCGTTGATGAGTCTTGGGTTTACACTGGTCCTCCTCCTCCTCCTCCTCCTCCTCGTCCTGCCTCGCTTCCTCCTCCTCCCTGCCTCCCCTCCTCCTGCCTCATCATGCCGCACCTCTGCCTGGACCTACGAGTCTAAAAAAACGCGGCGGCACTGCCGCCAGCTGCCCCGCCGCCCTCGCCGAATGCTCGGGGGCGTCTCAAGGGGGGGAGGCATCCAGGAAGGAGGGTCGCAGGTCATGGACGAGGGGTGGTGGTGGTGGTGGTGGTGGTGGTGGTGGTGGTGGTGGTGGTGGTGGTGGTGGTGGTGGTGGTGGTGGTGGTGGTGGTGGTGGTGGTGGTGGTGGTGGTGGTGGTGGTGGTGGTGGTGGTGGTGGTGGTGGTGGTGGTGGTGGTGGTGGTGGTGGTGGGTGGTGGTGCTCACTGCATAAACGAAGCACGTCTTGAGCAGAGCAGAACGCACCACGACGACGACGACGACGACGACGACGACGACGACGACGACGACGGAGACGATGCGCGCAAGCGACCCGCACCGAAGCACTGATTAGGGAAAGGGTACACCCTGCAGGTTCGGCTAAACAGCACATCGTTGAGCAGTGCTGCAGCCTCCCCTGAAGCAGGGGACGAGGGGAGGGGCAGGGACGCACTGGAAGAAGAAGAAGAAGAAGAAGAGGGGGCCATAAGACCCAGGTAGACCTCATGGTTCCAGTCGTGAGAACCACCCCCCCCATTCAGTACTCCTCCTTTCCTCAACGCCTGGTGATTTGGTCATAACTCGAGCCTTCAGCGGCCGTGGGACCATCCATACAACCCCAGACAACTCTCGACGAGGCGCAGCTGCTGGAAAGCACCCAGAGGCCAGAAACCTCCAAAAACCAACGAGAACGTTCTGCCCCGCCTCCCATTCGACGACGTGAACGTCCACACACACCCCATGTCGAGGGTGGACAAAACCCCCTTTCATAAAACACCGTTTGGTGAAAAACGACCTGGCACAAGACCCAGCTAGCGCAGGACCGCAAAACGGCAGCCGCGACGCCCTATCGAGACCCAGAAACAGGGCAATTCGCTGATCGCTGGCGGCGCGTACAAGGCTTCTTGGTAGAAGGAGGCTGCTTCCTAGTAGGCGCTGACCTTACATCTACGGATCAGGCCCTCGCCCTCTAAGAAGCAGGGGTGCTTCTGAGCAGCCTTCCCCCCCTCCCCCTACGGCAGCGAGGGGGTTCCATCGACCTCCGACCTTGGACGCCCCCGACGACTGCCCCGCTACCCCGCCCCCCCCCGCGGGGGGGGGCGGTGGCGGAGGGCCCCCCACGGGACGGATCGGCCGGAGGGGGGCCGCCTACCGGGTGCCCGTGAACTTCGGGGCCTGCAGGACGCCTGGCGCCAGCCCGCCTCTGCCCCCAACATCTCCGACGACGTGCCCTGCTCGAGCCCGACGATCTCTGCCATATTCCCGTCTACCGTGACAGAGGAATCGCGACGGAAAATTACTGCTAATGTTCGGCCTCCGGGGGCACTCGGCGCGCTGCAAGACCGTCAAAGAAAGACTCGGGATGAAAGGCCCGTCCAGGGAAAGACGTGCAGACCTCTGGGGAGTCATGTTCCGAGAAAGAAGCAGTGCAAGATGTCTGGCATACGAGGTTCTCGCCAGTTTCTTAAAAGCTGTCGTTGGTTCCTGGATGTTTTCTCGACGCTGGGGGTTCTCATGCAGCTGCGCCTCGCCGAAAGTGCCCCAGGGGGCTGCAGAATCGTCCCGAGCGGCTACTACTCCCACTACTACTACTACTACTACTACTACTACTACTACTACTACTACTACTACTACTACTACTACTACTACTACTACTACTACTACTACTACTTCCTACTACTCCTACTACTCCTACTACTCCTACAGCCACTACCACTACCACTACCACTTCCACTACCACTACCACTACTAGTACTAGTACCACTACTA